GGCGAGCTAAGAAAATGTTTTTCTCCCTGAGCCTGGCCTTCATAATTCCATTCCATCATAAATATTCAGCTGTTGGGTCTGAAGGAAGGACATAAAGGAATTGGTGGTGTAACAGAAAGAGAAGACAGGCATTATGTGCAACCCTATTTGAAGATAAAAAACATTAACTATATATTGTTGGTTGTCTGTATTTTCAACTAAGAAACAGTTTCAAACAAAAGAAAAGAAGAAACCCTTCATGAAGCATTGTGTTGCTATGAATAAGGTGTAAGGCCTACACACTGGCACACAAGGCTGATGTGCGCCAGACACAGAAGCATCAGAAAATGTGCAAAAATGAATTATACTTCTGAGGCCTCACGACAGGAAACTTTTCCAGTTCCCCTCTACAGGATACGTAGGCATGACTGATGCAGTACCAGTCTGTATCTCATTCCCATAACGCTAAAACATCAAAGAACGAGTAACTCACTCAATTATGAATTCCACTGTCATTTTCTCCAACGAATCAGAGAAGCAGATAGTATCTATCAACAATGAGAGTGGTTAGCCTTTTGCACAGGATACCCCAAACTAAGGTTATTTGTTGTAATAGCATTAACAAGAGGACTTCTAGAAAGGCCGCTCTAATTTTTTTACTGAATATTTTGATATGTGTGCAAACTGAAAACTATTTTATGGAGCTTGGAATGTCACGCAAGAGAAATGGATAGGAACTTCTGCACAAAGGACGAGCAGCAGCAGCACCAATAGCAACAGACTGGAGCTAAGAGAAGATGTCTATATTTAGCTGAGGACACCTTCTTTCCCCAGATATACCACTTAATATATATTTAGCTGATTTTATTGTCTACTAATATCAATCTAATTTAATTCACAGATTCACAGAAACACGGAAGGACCATTGAGGCTATCAAATGCAACCTCCGACTCTGTATTAGAGTAGGATTTGTTTGTTAAAAATTGTTTAATTTGTTATGAATGCAAATTAAAGCAATCATAACAAAAGCCTACCTAACCAGCTTCTGCTTGAACACGCCCAGCATAGTGGAGTCCACTATTGCATTAACTATTTCCACAGTTGAATGTGCTGCACTTTACTTCTGAATAAATACTACGTATGGCCTTTGTAAGGCCCTTTGATTTATACTATATGTTCCTTAATGATTTATACTATATGTTCCTTAACTCAGATAGGATGTACACACTGCAGTATGTCCAATATTCATTTTATGACGGCTTGTTGAACAAAGCATATTTGGCTGAGTTTGTGCAACATGCTATTCCAAATCTAAACAAACCACATTTTGAGTAAGTGTGGTGTGTGAATACAGTCACTGAGTTTTAGATCAGCACTGCTCCTCAGAAAGTGTTTTAAAATGTTTACCTTTACAGTTTTCATTGGGAGAAAAGCAAAATCTGTTCAGTGAGGAAAGCCTATTACTGATGG